AGTTCTTGATATCAGACAGGCTAATTCCTAGTCAAGTTCGATAACATCATCTAGAATTGAGTCAAAATGCGCTAGAGATTTGAATTTGATAATTGATTTATATAGCTAGAATTGGTTCGCAGGCGGTCAGGAATCTTTCTGAGTACTATTTTGAATTTTATCCTAGAAACCCCATTTATGTCCTACTGAAGTTGTATGATAAGGTGCTCTATCTTGTTGGAATACAGAATTAGGATAATTACTAATACAGGATATAAAATAATTAGCAAGAACATTAACATAATCATCAAAATATACAATGTCATTGTGGGATTTTGGGATGAAGTCCCATTACCTTTACTGTCATTGTGTGCTCTGTTTACTCGTAAAATCTATATTGATTTTTCTACTATACTAGAACAACTTTTATATCTTCTAGCTGGCTAAATTCTATATAAATAAAAAATAAGTCTTACAAAAATAATATATCAGGAACTGTTTCTACATTAGCTAGTTCATTAAATAGCATAATTTCATTTTAAATCATACAAAATAAATTATATGAAAAAATTTTATCCCAATTTTCCTAATAATAAGTTATATGAAAAAAATAAGTTATACAAATTTGTAAATAAGTCATATGAAAAAATTTTTGTCCCAACTCCTCTATAAAAAGTCATACGAAAAATATATATCAGGAATTACAGTTAAATCTCTATATAACGATATGTCGGGACATATAGAAATTTATTTTAAAAATATCATTATATCAAATTATACCGATATTTATATGACCTTAAGTATAATGGGTAAATAAAATTTTATCGGTATATAAAGTTTTTAACAGTATATCGGTATATAGAATATCGGTATATAGAGTTTGACTGTATGCTTAATAACTCTTAGAGGTCAGAAAATATAATAAAGATTTTTTGTTCTAATTTCTCCTATAATAAGTCATACAAAAAAATTTTTGTTCTAATTTCTCCTCTTAAGTCATACAAAATATATATATCAGAAATTATGTTTAGTAGCTTTCAGAGATTAAAAAATATAATAAAAAATATTATACAGAATTTTATCCCAATTTTCCCTTAATAAATCATACAAAAAATATATAACAGGAACTATTTTAAAGGTAGATTAGCCAAATAAATAGCATATCGATAACTTAAATCTAACTAAAATTTGCAAAAAAGTCATAGTCTTAAGTTCTTTATCAATAAATCTAACTTATCTCAATACACTAACCTGTCATAATTCCAATTTTAGTTTAAAGCTTTAGCTTGCAATCTATTATAGTATTGGATCACATAATATCCCTTGATATATAATAGACATCGTTTACAAGCAGAAGTAGTCAGCTTACTACAATCAGAGTAAAAAACTTATTTTTTAGCTTTCCAATAAAATTGACATCCTTCAGGCTTAATATAAGCTCTTTCACAAACTATTTTAGAGTTGCAGAGATAAGGATACGAATATTTACCAATCATTTAATAAGTATAGGAATTAATTAATTAAAAAAAATTTTATAAGTAATTAATAGTGCGACAGTAAAGCTAACATCATGGTTAGAAAAATTAAAAGTGATAAAAAGATACAACATGTGATTGTTGTAGTAGAATTTTAGCAAATTCTAATAAACTTTGTGAGCACTTAGAAGAAAAAATCCATGTAAAGCCAAAACTGATACTCCTATTCAACCCCTATTCAAATGCTTATTCAAACATCTTCTATTCAAGAAAGTAACCAACAGCTCATCCAAGAGGTAATCCAAGAATCTGTTTAAATACCAATTCAAATTTATAAAGAAAGCGATCAAATTCCTGAATCTGAACCTCTGATAGAATTTAAAAAACTGCCTTTAAGAAAACAACCAGTACACACAAGATTAGCTATAAATAAGCGTCTAAAAAAAGTCTTAAATAATGGGCAACTCATTTTGCAGATAGAATTGATAAACTTACTGATATAAAGCAATATTGAAGCTGGTTAAGATTAAGAAAAAGACTTTGAGAGGCTGTTGAAGTCAAATATGATAATCTTATTATAAGTGATCCAGAAGTGTGGCAAGAAAGGGAACATATAGGAGGTCATCAAGTGCAAAAGATATGAGAAAATGATGGAATTGTAGGATATATTCGACTAGAACATGTTTTATCAAACACAGTTTCAGAAGTTAATCCACAAACCAATCTAAGATCTAGAACACAGATTAATAAAGAATTTCATCGCTTAGAAGAAATTATTGATATACAAGAAAGAGACTTAGAATTTAGGAAGCAAGAAGAATTAGGCATAGCACTTAAAAGAAGAGTTATAGCTGTACATTGTGCAAAAGTTCCTAAATCACATTCAAATAATAGAAGTGATATATGAAAAATGTTAAAGAGTCGAAGAAAACAATTTAAGGATATACTTGAAAAGGAATTTGACAAGTGTGAACAATTCAAGTTTGCTCTATGTTTTCTTACCAAATTTCTTATAGATAATAAGCCTGGAAGTGAAAAGCTTGAAAAAAAAAGAACTCACAAAGTAATGTTTTAGGCGAAACTGAAACCTTTCGGCAGCCAAAACCTCTAAAACTTGGCGAAATTAGTTTCGTCACTGATCAAAAAATTGAAACCTCTGAAACCTCTGAAACCTGCCCAAATTTCTGAAACCTCTGAAATAGTCTGAAACCTATGAAACAGTTCGTAATCTCTAAAAACCTCCTAAAATAGGGATGGGCGTTAATTAACCTGGTTAATTAACCGGTTAATTAACCAAATCTTAATTAACCATTAATTTACCTAAAAATGGAATCTGATTAGCATATATATGCATATTAAATGTGCAGTAACTGTTACAATGCGTATAGTTTGTTTATTAAATATCTAATATGTCAGGTGGAGATTTTCAAACCTCTTCTCAAATTTTACCAGATAATATACAACAACTATAGAAAAGTTCTAGTGGAAGGCCAAAGTCACTTATATGGGAAACCTATGTTAAGCAAGGAAAAAAAGTATCAGAAGGCCATTATAAAGCTACTTGTCTTTACTGTAATACCTTTTGGCACAAAGGTTCACCTCAAGTTTTAGAATCACACCTTGCTAATAACTGTTTAAAAGTTCCATTAGAAGTAAAACAGATATTTTTAAGCCGACTTGTTGCAAAAGCAGAAATTTTTGTAAGTAATCGATAAAATAAAAAATGAAAACTTGATGGTGGGACTGAACAAACAAAAATAACAGATTTTCATGAAAGCTCGAAGCTTTCTTCAGAAAAAATCTATGAAATTGATCAAGCATGTGTGAAATCTTTTGTTATATGCGGTATTCCCTGGCATGCAATCAAAAATCCATTCTTTATAGAGTTTTTAAAAACATTACGTCCAGAATATCTACTTCCTTCAAAAGAAAAACTCTCTGGCGAACTTTTAGATCAAGAAGTAGCTGTCGTAAATAACAAGATTATTAGGGAGTTATAAAATTCTACAAATTTAACAATATGTAAGTAACGAAGTTATTCTCTATATTTTAAATTTATTAATTACTATAAACTTATTATTCTTTTTAATTTTTTAAATTTAAAGCATGCGATGGGTGGATCAATACAACAAATGAATCTATCTAGAATTTTCTTATTCATACACCCTCTTATAAAGAATATTTGTGGTGCTTAAAAAATTTGTCAGATGAACGTCATACTGGTCTCTTCTTAGCAAATGAAATAGAAGAAATAATTAATAAAATTGGATCAGAAAAATTTTTAGCAATAGTATCAGATGCAGGACCAAACATTCAAAATGCTCGTAAAATAATTACTGATAAATATCAAAATATCCTTAATATTCATTGTATTGCTTATGCAATCAATCTAATTTCTAAGGATATATGTACTACTTCTTTTGCAAATCGGATTTTAACTCGATGCAATACAATAGTGACTTTTTTCAAAAAAAGTCATCAAGGAGGTAAGTTTCTTTATAATTTTTCTCCCATTTTATTATAATGCTTAAAAAAATTCATTTTTATATTTATTAATAATAGGTTCAACTTTAAAAAAAGAAGCCACAAATTGCCAAATAAATGGAAATGGTTTAAAACGATGGGTCAATACTTGATGGCATACCATATTTGACTAAGTTGATTCTATTCAGCGTCATAAAGAAGCTTTAATAAAGGTAATATCAAAGTTATTATATTGGAGCTGATCTATTAAAAGTGGGTTACGAGACATAGTAAATCATATGATCTGTACTCAATTTTAATAGAATACTACCCATATGTTTATATCAATATTATATTTAATTTATTAACTAAAAATTATTTATTTTTATTATAGTTACGATTTGATGATACAGATCTTCTTCTGCTAGCAGTTTTATCAATTTTACGATCCCGTGCTTTTTTTGATAATGTATGTGCACTAGCATTTGCTTTGCATCCCATCAAAAAAGTAATTTTAAAATTAGAATCACAAACATGCACGCTTGCAGATTGTTTTATTAAATTAGTTCAGCTTGGGACTACAATTAACAAGTTACCTAGAAATGATTATCGTGTTTTTCGTCATCAATGTATCGCAATATTTAATAAACATTATGTTGAATTTGCTGATCTAATATACTTATTGTGCTTCTTTTTGCATCCGGATTATAAAGGTTAGTTTTTTTAAAAGAAAATTAATAATTAAAAATTAACTAAAATAGTAATTAATTTATTATGATTTTAATATTTAAATTTTTTAACCTTAGATATTTGCTGGACGCGAAGAACTTTTAGGGAACTCTTATTGACGGCAGATGAAAATTTTAAAAAACTAGGAAAATCAAATGGGAAGCGAAGTGAATTAATGCAACAAATGAAATTATTTCGTAAACGTCAAATCCCATTTGATATCGAATTAGGTAAAACTGAATTACTAATTTCTTAGTGAATATCTATGGAAGATAATTTTAATAAAGGAGAAGATTATTTGGTACAATTAGCTAGTAAACTACTATTAGTTACACCCATGCAGCTGGATGTGAAAGGATTTGGTCTAATCTTGGCTGGTTATATGGTAAAAAAAGAAATCGGTTGGGGTTGAATAAAGTTGAAAATATATACAAATTATCAGCTTATTATCATACACATGCAAAGCAAGAATTACCATATTATAATATAGAAAAAACAAGTGATGAAATCTGTGAAATTTTAGTTGATGCGCATTTAAATCTTGATGAAGATCTTATTGAAATAATGGAAGAAGATAATGGTATTAATGATGCAGAAATAAATTCATTTGGTAAAGAAGCTGATTTGATAATTAGTAGGTTTTTGAATAAAGATGTAGATACATTTGTTAATGATTTAGATGAAATTATTGAGGATAGTTTGGAAGAGGATTCAGAGAAAGAAGATAATCAAAATGTAGTTGAAAAAGAAAAGGAGACAAACATAGAATGGGATCCAATCGCAGCAGCTGATGATATAGTTAATAATTTGTAAAGTTTTGTTTTTTGATTGATATATATAATATGATTTTATAATAATAAAAAAGTAATAAACTGTTAAATTGGAATCTTAAACAATTTTTTATTTCATAAATGTTGTTTATCCTTTTAATAAAATTATATAAAATCTGCTATCAGAACACGTATTTGAAGGTTACAGAGGTTACAGAGGTTTCAGAATTATGAAATTTTGGGCAAGTTTCAGAGGTTCTGGAAATTTGGGCAGGTTTCAGAGGTTACGGAAATTTGGGCAGGTTTCAGAGGTTACGGAAGTTTGGGCATGAGTTTTGGAACTTGACCAAAAAGGCGAAACATTTCACCAATCACAAAACAGTTTCGCCCGAAACATTATCACAAAGAGACTGACTCAGAAATAAGATTGTTGGACGAAATTAAGAGTTTAGACAGACGTCTAAATGGTAAAAGTAAAACTTGGTTAAATTATATTAAAACCTTATTAAAAAATCTGCGAAATTTAGAAAAAGGTAAAACTATATCAAAGCTTATAAAAATGGTGAAACTATATCAAACACTTAGTAAAAATTTAGCGAAACTAAAGGTTTAACCGTTTTGCTAAATCCAAAATGAGTTTAGATAAACAATCTTACTCAAAAATAAACAAATTATAGTTTACAATCAAGCTTAAATAAATGACTATTTAAGCAATGCTTTTGAGCAAATCTTATATCAAATAGAGGAAAAAGGAGGTAAGTCTAATACTTGAGAATATATTTAGGTGGTAACATTGTATCTGACAGAACAATTTGAAGTTCTTCTCTTACAAAAGAGTGTCTGGACTATTATAAAGTTTATAAAGAACTAGTTGATTTTCTTTTATCAAATAGTAATTAATCATAAAGACTTTAGAAAACCAATTACAATCAGTTACTCTTTTTTTCCAACCTTTTAATTCACCAGATTCTAAGAGATGACGAACTTCAGTATAATTAGGTAAAAGTAATTCATTATAATCAACTGATCTCCTATGTTTGACAGAAGGTTTAGCTATTATTTTTTTGCCTTTTAATGCTCTTTTCACAGCCTCGTTTAAAGATATTCCTATTAACTTAATAGGTATATTATTAAAAATATTATCATTTACATGAAGACCTCTAACCTACGTTCTACACCTATCAGATAAAGGCAAATGAAAATCTACAGCATCTTGCTGAAAATAAGCATGCTTTTCAAAATCTTGATAATCACATTCAGTAATAGCTACTTCACATTTAGAGTTAACATACTGAATTTTTACATATAGCTAAACAATAAATCCTTACATTCGCCTATATATTCAATATTTCTATCTATAATAAAAGTTTCAGAATAAGTAAGAGGGCAGTTTGGATCATCATAAATTTTTTGAATTTTCTTAGCCATTTGTGCAGATGTTTTATCAGTCAAAGTAAAACTATGTCAAAATCTAGTTGCGATATCTTTTATCACATATCCAGACATTTGACCAAAAGCCATTTGATCGAAAACCATTTGTTATACATATGCATAATATAAATAATAATTTTATAATAACCGTATCAATTGAAGTATGATGTTTAATATAGTGACAAATAGATTTGGTCAAATGACTTTCGGTCAAATGTATCATAACCCTTTTATCATACCTTTATACTTATAAATCTGATTACTTACTTTGTTATGATGTATAGATGTAATATCAGACTAATGTACTTTATTAAAAATTTGTATATCATTAAAAGAAGCATATTGAATAAACTTTGGCCGAGATATATGAATCTGATATACAACTTGTCTCTCAAGTCAATTACATATTTCATTTAAGGTAAAATCAAACCCAGCTTTTTGAGAAGCTTCAATCAATTTTTTTACAGTCCTCTGATAGCCTGAAGGCTGATAATAAATCTTTTGCAAATCAATAGATATATCTAAATTTCTAGCTTTACTCGAATCTAATTATATAATAAGAATCAATAACTGTTTGATGTATCTCATTAGGAATAGTAATAGAACTAAAACTTGCATATAGAATATATTTTGGTCAGAATTTATGAATCTGATGAACAGTTTGCCTCTCAAGACAATCACATACTTCATTTAAAGTAAAATCAAATTCAGCTTTTAGAGAAGCTTTATGCAATTTTTTCACAGTTCTCTGATAGTCCGAAGGTTGGTAATAAATCTTCTGCAAAGTAATAGATACGTCAAGTTTTCGAGCTTTATCTAAATCTATCTAGATAATAGAGATCAACATCTTTTTTTTCTCATATTCATTCAGATAGTATTAGAAAAAAATTGCTCAAATAAAATATGGCTAGACAAATGCTCCGAAGGACTGTAACTGAGAAAGAGGCTTATATCGAAATCCTTGATACTATAAAGAGTTACGCGAAGAATTGAAAGATGAAATAGCTAAAATTAAACTTAAAGATAAAAAACTCAAAGCGCTTAGCAGAGAGCTAAAAATCTGTTATAAAACATTATCTCACCAGGATTTAGCAATATTAGTTCACGAAGATAAGATAGCATCTTTTAAGACTAAGATAAAATCTCTTAAACAGCATCTTCAAAAAGCATTGCAAAATTTAAGATATAAAAATAATGCTAGTACTGTCCAAGATATTAATATTTTAAGGCTAAATAATATTGAGAAACTTAAAACTGTATTTATGAAATAACTTGTCTAAGTCATAAAAAAGTTTTAAATAATAAAGAAATATTAAATATAAAGCATACAATACAAGCTATTTTAGGTAGGTGATTTGAGGCTTCAGCTTCTTTAGCAAGAATTCAAATACATTTGGATAATACAGGGGTTATACTTTCAGATGATATAAGAGGACAATTTGATAGAGTTGGTACATGTTTGGCTAATTATACTGATACAATTTGTCAGTTTTGGTAAAATTGAAATATGGTAGTAGAACAAAATGTTCGATGATTCAGAAATCTAGTGTAATAATTGCAAGAAGTCTAAGCTAAGTCACAGAATGATAATCAAATACATCTGAAACTTAAATGCGGCGTAATATTCCGTAGATTTATGATTTTCGTAATATTTTGAAGTATTACGTTATAAAACTACGCGAGTTTACGAGTTTGTAAGATTTATGAAATATGATATTACGGTAAAATCCTACGTAGGATTACAGGTCGTATTCCTTATAAGAAATCAAAATAAGAAAATGATACGTTTTTTATAAGGTTTGTATACGTAATTAATGATTCTATATCAAAATTCCATATATTTTATAATGATTTATTTTTTATAATTTTTTAGAAAATTAATGTATACGGAATTATTAAGGAATTTGAAATAACGTATAAATTTTACGTAAAATAAAAAAAAATAAAATAAAAATATTATATATGGAAATG